CTCAGCAAGTCGATCTATTTTTCTTTGAATGAAATCATAATTAAATTTGAATTTCATAAGTATAAAAAAATTAAGACTTAAAAATATGTGTTTTTAGTCACTCAAATTTAGGATAATTTATTTTTGGTCCCTCAAATTTAAAATTATTATTTTTAGTTCATGTAATTTCAAAAAATCTTATTTTAGTCTTTATATTCAAATTTTGTTAAGAAATTTATCAAATATTATTGCATAAAATTTTATAGGTGTTCTTATTAATGAAAATATTATATTAAATCCAGTTGATATTGCATAATTGTCTTAATTAGTCACTTTCAAATATGTTATTGGTGACCTAAAGGACTAAAACAAGATTTTTGAAAATTACAGCAACTAAAAACAACAGTTTTAAATTTGAGGGACCAAAAACAATTTTTTTTTTAAATTTGAAAGATTAAAAACATATTTAAGCCAAAAATTAAATATAATTAATTTCTAAACCTTGTTTTTAATTTAGGGTTAGTCTAGTAATTAGGTGGAAAGAGATTAAGGTAATTAGAAGCTTGGAGACCTAGGTTCAATCCTCTTTACGCTCATCTTTGTAATCTTTCTTAATTTTACAAAAAAAATATCTTGTTTTTAATTTATATTTAATTCCTAAATAAAATTTTAACCAATTTCTAAATTTTTCCTTCAATATATTTTTTTTCTTATTGCTAATACATTAAATGAAGATGTAACAGGTAAACAACTGTTACATAATTTCTTTTTTTAGTAAATCATGTCTTTAGTCTTTTGGTCCCCCATTTTTTTTATATACAAAATCATTTTTAGAATTAAATAATTTAATAATTAGTGTTGGTCCCCCCTTTTTTTTATAAAATTATTCTTTCAATAATTTTTGTACCAATTAATCTTAATCCTTTTATTATTGTTAACTTTTATTTTTAATTCTTTCCTTTAAGTGTTATTGTTAAAGGATGATGTGATAGCCACATTAGAAATCACATAATTTTCAATAGTAAAATTTTGGTTTGAAATTATTTTAGCAATTTTAAGATGTTGTAAATTTTTCGATAGCGTATAATTGTCAAAAATAAATAGATTTGGAAATTTAGAAGAAAAAAAATGAGAAAAAAAATGCAATAAACACATAAATCAACAACATAATGAACCATAATCCAAAAAACAAAAAGAAAAAAAAACTCACAATAAGCAAAATTAGGCTTTTTATCCCACTAGGATCATAATAAAAACATTTTATAAAAATGGGATTGTTTTTAAATTATTTTTTCCTTTGAAGTAGTTAAGCGTGGGTGTTGATGATCAACTCAGCAACATTCATGTCACATATTTTTTTTAGAAAAATAATTATTTATTAAAAAAGGGCACATGACACCATTTTGGTGGCTCTAAAGTTGATTGTGGGTTCAGTAGTGATGCATCTCACTCCAACATCACTCATTTTTTCTATATTTGATTTTATTATTATTATTATTATTATATTTATT